AAATTTTGGCATATCCGATATCGGCCAAAATCCCAATATCGTGCATCCCTACTTTAAAGGGATATTTTCCTGTTTCTCTTGACAAATTAGACTTTACAAGAATGAAACATTTTGATGTAAATTTAAAGCTCATTTAAATTGACATAAAATGCTAATTTCTATTTAACAATATATGTAAAAAAGAAGTGTATTAAATTTGAAATTTAAATAATAGAAAATAATGTCTGAAGTTGTTGTGTTGCTTCTAATGTACTTATTTTGCACATCTATAAATTAGAACAATAGATGATTCATTAAGTTAATTTTTCCGGTGCTGTCACTATATGTTTCATTATTTTTCCTTATTTTGCGATGAATTAAGCATTTGATGCTTTCATTAGTGGTCAAAAAGCTCATATTAATCAAAAACATTCAGCATCCTTGATATTACTTCATCAGTGGCGACAGAGAATCTGCGTGGTGTAAAATGACTTAGTTTTCTGCTCATTTTGGGTAAAGTTAGAACAGCGGGGTATAAATTTAGCAGCAACTGTGCAGTAGATGATGTTTTCTCATAGATGTGAATGCGCATCATTGTCATGTTCAAAAGAAACCCTATGGTCGTCTGGTTTAGCTATGGATGGATTATCTAATGCTCTCTGCCATATAATGAGGAATCACTCCTCAGATATTTCTCCTTACACTAAGATAAATAATAATTTGATCACTGGAACATGGTGTAATGAGATTTTAACCAACATTTTTAACTCTAAATAGGTTTATGTGCATATTTGTTGAACAAAAAACGGTTCAAAACAAAAAGTTAAACCGTTTTTTTTTTTGTTTTTAGAGCTAGTAGGAACATGTCCACATTTGACTGCAGCTTTGGACAGGAGTTAAAAAAGCTGTTTTCCAAAAATGTTCAGTGCAGGTTTAAAAGATATATTCTACAAGTATTAGGTGTAAGACTTTTCTTTTTTTTATTCTCAGAATAAAGTCATAATATTAAGAGAATAAAGTTGCAAAAATATAAAATTTGTGATACTATGAGGGAAAAAATTTGTTTTTTTTAAGAGACAAAAGCTACGATAGAGATATCAGCCAAGCTTAGACGGCGTGTTTTAATTAGGCGGGGTGTTGCTCTTTCTTGCAGTTTACATTAAAGAATCCAACATCTTTAATCTCAGAATATTATGACATTATTTTAAAAATACATTTTTTCTCATAAAGTTACAGTATTCTGGCATCGTCACAGCTATTTTGGTAAAGTTACTACTTTCTCAAGCTTTAGCAGATTTAATAATATGACTTTATTCTTAGATTACAATTTTATAATCATATCTTTATGAGTTTAACCTTGTAGGCCTGATATTTTATTATGACTTAATGCTTATTACATTACAAATGTATTGTCCTATTGTTTTGGTATGCTGGTAATATTACAACTTTACTCTAATGTCATAATTTTAATCATCTAGATTTATTTTTGTGACTTTATTTTTGTAATTTAGGATTTTATTTTTTGTAACATTGCAACTTTAATCTCATCATCATATTGTTAGTTCATTCTTGTTATTTTTAAACTTCATTCCAAATGTTATGGCATTAT